TATCTATCTATCTATCTATCTATCTATCTATCTATCTATCTATCTATCTATCTATCTATCTATCTATCTATCTATCTATCTATCTATAATGATGCCTTTTAATGCTTTAATCAGCCAAGTTTGCCTTTTAATGCTTTAATCAGCCAAGTTTATAAGTTCATAACAAGTGGGTATTTACCCAGATGGCATGACTAACCCTGAGGGTCACACATAAACTTGTGTTTTGCGTCTTAACAATATGGTGGTTAGGAAAGCTGAAAATAATACACAGGAGGTTTCCATCACCTGATAACTGTGATTTAAAGCAACATGTTTAATTTCTATTTGCTCATAGAAGACCATAGTTTGATGTGTTAAAATCCAGCAGCTAAACATTGCAAAATACTAAAAAAAGTGTAGATTTCTTTCTCTGGTTTATCAGTTATGGTCAAATACAAACTTTTTTTTATATTGTAAGCCATATGTTTTGAATCCACTTTGTTTTTGTAAAAGCTTGTGATTTATTTGGCATGTTTTTCATTCCTATTGCGTAAGCTTTTTTATTTAGCTTCATATGGTCTTGATCTAACAGAGAAATGTGGACATTAGGGTTTAAATTGATTTATTCGGTTCCCCTAAATAAACCTTATTTAGGGGAACCGATCTAATCAACCCCTACTGTCAGTATGCATCTTGAAAAGTTGTGCAGAAAATAGGAATAGGTTTTTCAATTAAGTTGTAAAAGCAAGCAACGACTTACCAGAGCTGAAAAAGACAAACTTTGTTTACAAATAGAGGATATTAAGAGACTCAATTATTTGTTCAACCTTGTATTGTTATTTTCATTATTCATAAATGTTAAGATTAAATATAACTTGAATTCTGTTTATTTCTCTGGAAAATACTATCCTCTACTGATTTTCTGTTTTGAGTAGAAAATGGATCCTGTTTTTATAAACAGAAGAGAATTGCAGCCTTCGGATTGGCTGTACTGGCTCCATCCTGTTCAGGCAGTTTACAGTGATCTGAATGTGGCATTTTTTAATGGCTTCAGCCCAATGTGTTTCCAGTTAACTGCGGTCTAAGAGCAGGAGTCAGCACAATCCAGCAGCCCATCATTATACGTGTCAGTAATGAGCGTTTTACCACGAGTGGGACGTTTTGGGTCTGGGGCAGCGTGGAGCAGGGGGAGGGGGCTCCATCCCGAGCATGTTTATGATGGTTAGGCCTGTTTTAATGATCAGCCACAAACAGCAGTGGGGTATGGAAAAGATGAGAACTGTTGTTTTGATTAGAACAAGCATGGCTGCATGCAGCTTACTGTCGGAGGCAGAAAATGACAGGGCTTAAAGAAGGAAGAATGCGTATGTTTAGAGTCGGAACAAACCAGTCACCTTTGAGCCCACTTTGCCCATCTACAGTAAGAATGGCCCACGCATTGCAGCTTGGTTTGGTTTTAATCTAGTTACACCAAGATTCATAAAATTATTAGCACACTTCTTAACAAAGTGGCACAACTGCCTGAAAATAATTGAAATAATCATACAATTGTTTATCTATCTTACTACTTCAATAAAGTTAATTCTATACACTTTACAATCAGTGCACATATTTCTGATATTTATTTCTTTAAAATCTGGAGATTGTAGGTTATATATAATAGAAATTAAAATTCAGAATATTACATACAGTTAGACAAATGAAAATTCACTAACCAGTTATCTAGCAGACAGACTGTATGGAAAGACAATGGCATCATAAGACCCTTTTTACAAAATGCTGGATCCCAGCATATCGTTAGAAAGTTGAGGGGAAGAAAAAATGCATGGATGATTGCAGCCTTAAGAAGTAAACCTTACAAATAAATAAACCTTAGAGTGTTTATAGTTTTCATTTGTTAAATGGGATATTCTATTTCAAAGATTTCCATTATCAAGCTGACTGTGCAAAAATATTTGACTTGCTTAGACTTGTGACTAGATGCGAAATAAAGCAAGCACAAACACAACACACATGAGTAACAAATGTTCTGCTTACTAATCAATTTAATGTTTTTTAGACTGACACACCTCACTTATTAAAACCTTATAAGATTCTCTTTCTTCATCATACGGTTTGGACGCCAGCAGTCCTTTGCTAAATACCTATTATTATCACCGGCAATTCAGTAGCACACAGTTAAGTCCTAAAACAGTCTGATGAGTCAATAGCTAGCATGTGTTTTATAAGAGACAATTACAGGGGCTGAGGCAGTTCATTTAAATGTTTTCAACATTTGACAGGAAAGTACCTAACAGTGAAAGAAAAATAAAAGTCACTCAAGTTTTCCAGGATGAGTTGTCCTCTTTGGAATCATTGTGGCTGAAAAAGCTAGAAAAAAAGGACCTCACAATAACAGAAGCAAAAACCATTGTAAAATAAAGTTTTATATGCAAAATCCACCATATCAGCATATTCAACATACTGGTCACACCAAAGTCACCAAAAATGATTCTGAAATGCATGAAAAGGCCTAAAATGATCTAGCTGTTGTTCTTTAAGCCTTGGGAGTGTCTAGACTGCCATATAAAACGTTACAATGAGGCATGACAGCTAAGAGGTTAAAGAAAACTCTATGAAAAAAAAAAAGAAAGAAAAGAAAAAAAGTATAAATATATATATATATATATATATATATATATAAATATTCATAGATAGATAGATATCTTTATATCCTTGTGAGCAATGGTAAAATAGCAGCAGTCTGCTTTAACTCAGCCGATTGGAAGCAACAATTGGGAGTCAGGCATTGATTTATTACTTATATACATTATATAGACCACTAAAACTCCAATCACTAAGATATGGAATCTTGCAGCTTATTAAAAAGTGTTCCAATGCTACCTTGAAAAACAAATAAAAACAAAACTTTATCAGTTTAGAAGTCCAATTCTTAAATAATGTCATTAAAAATGAGGTCAAAAAATGTATTTTGAATTTTATTGTCATTGTTCTTAGTTTAATATTTCTTTCCTCAGTTTGATCTGAAAAACAAACTTTTAATAAAAAAAATGACAATTTTTTGTTCAAAACTAGAATATTTAGTTATTACATTTTAAATCTGCCCATAATCAAGCTTTAATGAGCCAGACTTTAACTACTTACAAAATTAAAAACATTTAATAGTTGCTTTACCTTTTTTTAGTATACATTGACAATGAGAGCTTCCATAAAACTCTCTTGCTTTAACTTGTTGTTTTTATTTCTAGTCAAGAGGAAACTCACAGGTGTTTGGTCAAGTTCCCAGACTTTGAAGACAGTGAGCTGAATTTAAACTTACCTCTCCGTCATCCCTCCAGGATCATGGCCCTGCAAAAAACCATCAGTAGCCATGATGAATAGAGCCTCTGTATGCTTTGGCAACATAGTTCTCTACTGCCCTTTCAGTAAACAGACAGCCAAAAAAACACTGAGGGAAGAATTATTAAAAACAGCAACGGGTGTAGGAAAGTCACCAGAAAAAGAAAACACAAACAAAAAAATTTCCATTAACATTGTCCTACACCATTGTGGAAAATTATTTTCCTCCCTTAAGAAAATCTTTGCTTTCATATCAGTCAAAGATAACTTAAGTAAATGCAAAGACTAGTTTGAAGAAATATACATGGCCCTATGTTACAATATGAATTAATGGATGATTGCATTTATTTCAAAAGTTGGATTCAGTTCTGCTAGACATTCCTAAATGCTGCCTGAACTATAGAAAATAGAAACTCCTTAAACAGAACGTGTCTGATAAGCTGATTTTATATAAATATATCAAATCATAACAAAATCAAAAAATCAAAAACAAAGTAATTGGCATCTGGAAAGAGTTACAAGGCTATTTCTGAGGAGTTCTACTTCTAGTAAAACCAAAAATAGAACCATCATCCACAAAAGGAGGAATCAAAAAGTGACCCTTCTAAGGGTTGGCCTTCCTGAATTATTCAGGTCACAAAAGAATTCAAAGTAACATCTAAGGTAATTGTGTTATGAAGCAGGAAAATTATACAAAGCTCACCAGCAAATCTACAAAATGTCAAGGTTTTGGAGGGGCTTTATAAAGTCTGGAGCTAAAACCTTCAACATGGCTGGATTAAAAATATCATGTTAACAAGAGTGGGTCAAAATCTTTCAAAGGAATATAAACACCAATGGATAGTTATTGCAAATCCTTTATAGCAGTTGCTGCTGCAAAGGGTAGCTGGGTCAGCTATATAAAAGGCATTCACATTTAAAAATAGCTGTCAATCCATTAACTTTTAATAGATAACAGATCGATTGAAAATTTCCTTTTGTGTTGTCTTTGTCTGATTTTACTCTTTGATAACTGATGTTGAATTGATAAATGTGTTAAAAAAAGACCTAATTAGAGGCAAAAAGTTTTTCAGTGAAAATGGAAATAATACAGACAAATAAATGAAAGGAGCAAAAGCTAACCATTATGTCTTTGGGTTGTTTTTTTTCAGTTCTTGCTGTGCTCTTCCTGCAAGGAGGTAAAATACTCATGTTACTATGAAGTGTCTCAATAAAATACACATTTATACTGGAGTTTTTGTGCACTATATTTATTTAAATGTCTTTATGTGTTCTGACAGCTTGGGGTCAAAGCAGCAGCAGCAGCGGTGGTGGTGGTGTGGTGGTGGAGACCAAGAACATTACCCTCCCTGCAGGCTCCAGGGCCGTGCTGCCCTGTCAGAGCCCCCGCATGGTGTGGACCCAGGACAGACTGAAGGACCGTCAGAGGGTGGTGCACTGGGACGTCGTCTATAGCAGCCCTCCATATTCGGTGGAGCGAGTTTTGGACATGTCACCTGGAGCTCGTCAGAGGGTTTACAACGGCTTTAATAAGGGCCGCGTTTCTATATCAGACTCTGCTTTCACTGATGGAAATTTCTCGCTTTTCATCAACAGTAAGATTATTTAGATTTCCTGTAGCAATAGTGTCTTGTGGAATTAACCATATAGTCCATGTTTGTGTAACACAAGGATAAAATAGATAATGTCACCTAAACTGCAGCTCCTCCGATCTTACCATCTCTTGACTGCTTTTCAGATTTATGCTCTTTTTTTTCCTTGCCTGCCTGTTTAAAGCTGTCTTGTTTATCCTCAGAAGTCTTCTCTAAAAATCTGTGACTATTAGTGAACTCCCTACTTATCTATTGTTTTTCTTTTTTCATCAGATGTACTGACAAGCGACAAAGGAGTTTATACTTGTAATTTGCACCATCATTACTGTAAGATTCACCAGTCCATCCAGATCCAGCTCAATGTAACTAAGTCAGGTAAGGCTAACAAGCGCAAAATACTTTAATTTATTGGCTTTGATGCATAAGGATTTTTTTTTTTTCCAGCTCGGAAAGAGAAACGATACTGGGATGGAGAGAAGACTGTGCTTGTGGTCCTGTTGGGGAGCTCAGTTATGCTGCCCTGTGTGAACCGGCTTGCCCTGTGGAGAGACGGAGTGCAGGAAGACCAGCAGCAGGTGGCCCACTGGGACTTCCAGCCTCCTGGGGTACGTCCCAACAAGGCGGACCGACTGGTGGACCTCTATGCCTCTGGAGAGCGAAGAGATTACGGGCCTCTGTTTGCCCAGAGGAAGATGAACGTGGCAGAGGATGCTTTCACATACGGCGACTTCTCACTTTCCATCTTTGACTTGAAGCCTGCAGATAAAGGCCTGTACTCCTGCCACTTGCACCATCACTACTGTGGTCTGCATGAGAGACGCGTCTTCAGGCTCACTGTGGGACCTCCGGTTCCACTCGAACCCACAACCGCTCCTAAAATCTATGTGAATGACGAGCAAGAAAAAAGTGAGTCTGACTTAAAAGGCACAACAATTTCACTTGAATTGTGATTTTCTTGGACATAGCTGATTGTTCTGTGCTCTTAGGTGAACTCAGACTGTGTTCCTGGCAATGTTTCTCTTCAGGCCTCCCTGTTTTTCAGTTTGAGTTAAATAGGGAGGAGGCACTATAGAAGGAATGTGGGGGCCAGTTGAATGAGGGAAAGAGGGTAAAAGAAAAGACAAAACTTTCCGTAGCTGGATGACCACTAATTCAGGATTTTTCTGGAATGCTTTTTCTTTTGCTTTAAACTCCTTGCAGTGGAAGTGGTATAATTATTCCCGCCAACTCTTTTATATTTTACAGCTCTTTGTGTAGCTGCACACACTGTAACTGCATCACTTTATAGTAGAAAAAAATGTAAAACATTTTGAACTACAGTAGGGAGGGGATATCTTGCTTTTTTTGTTCTCCTTTTACCCTGATTTTCCCAAAAGTCCCTTCCCACTGTCTAGACTGCTGTGGTATCTGCTTTGCTGTTTATTCTTCCTAAACCAGCCTCTGCTCTGCTGCTTTGCTGATGTGTATCAGCTTTTGGCAGGGCCATGTTTACTAGCAGCCTGAGGAAGTTCTCCTACATCTGTTCAACATCTGGCCCAGCTGTGACATAAAAGAACAAAGGTAGAGGGGTGAATGTATGTCAGGCTATTGATTTTCCTCCCCCCCTCGAGAGCTGCCATCCCGTTTAATTACACCGCACATTATTCAGAAAAGAAATGCTCACATGGAATGGTAGGATCAAGCTCATTTCAGAACATTTCTACACGCTATCCAGCTTCTTTTGTCATATTGTCGATCTTGTCTTGGACTGAAATCAACGCTTGTGTTTGCTCCCAGGTTTCGAGTGTTTTATAAGATAAAATATTATGTAAGCTTTTTCTTATTATGATCCAATTCCTCCTGTCAAGCAACCAACAGATTAAGAAAGCTGTTGACAACTTAGATAATATCTCAGTCTTTTAAAATGATGATGCTTTTCTTCGCTTCATTGAAATGCAAATGATTCATGGCCCACTGGGTGAAACGAAATAGCACAAAAACAGAGAAGGTATTCTGTGAGCAGCATATGTGAAATACCTATTGACAAGAACAGGCTTGTTTGATCCGCCAGGATGATGTTAAAGGGCTGCTGGTGTAACGTGGCTCTGGGCAGGTCGGTTGTCCTCCAGAGAGAGAGAGACAATGACCTAAGACATGTTTCTATTTACATGCATATCAGCTACATTATACAATGACAGCTGATAATTAGTCTAACCAGAAGGGGGTGTGTTTCTCCTTTTTTTCCCTCCATGATGCAATGTCTTTTTTTAAAGCATGGCCAGAGGAAATGAGTTATTCATTTTTCCCCCAATTTGATTACTTAACTCTCTCTATATTTCAAAGGCAAAAGAAACAGATCTGTTCCACCATCTACTGATTTGTTTTCAACACAAAAATACCCACATTTTTTTTAACCAGTAGGCATGGCTGTTTACTTCTCAGCAATTAGCTAAATAATTTACTTTTTTTTCTACACACCAACTGGATTTTAGTGTTTGTGAGAAGATCTGAAAACCGTACTGAGTGGAAAACTAATCCCGACATGCAGACAGACCACATTAGTGAAATTTCCTCGGCTTGCAAACACGTCTCCTCTTTTCTGGTCAGTGTGTGTTTTTACTGAGAGAAAGAAAAAAATAACAGCTGCATGACATCAGGTCTGGAAGTCATTACAGCCGAGCAGCTTTCTGACATTTCACTCTCTGCTTTCCCTTCTGTCTTTCTGGAAGGAACAAGAAATAGCCTTTCCATTTTCTTTCTAAAGGTATTCTAATGTTTTTCACTTTTTTTCACAGTGCAGCTAAAATCCCTCTAAAGTGTATTTTTATAGGATTCTTTTAAATTTAACACAGTCTAGTGGAAAATTATAAATGAATAAACAAAATACATGATTTACTTGATTTTCTTAGAAGTATAGATAAATAGTTTACCATGCATTTTCATTTAGCTCATCTTAATCAATACTTTGTGGACCTACATTTAGCTGTTGTCACAGCTGTAAGTCTTTTGAATGGGGTCTCTACCAGCTTTTCAAATTTAGGCTTTCTCTTTGCACCCTACTTGATTTCTAGTTTTTATGATCTCAGTTTTAAAGCCTTGCCACATATTCTTCCAAGGGTTTAGGTCTGGATTTGACTGGGCCTTACACAGGCTTTGATCTAAAGCATTTTATTGCAGCTCTGGCTGTGTGTCAAGGGGCATCGTCCCTGCTCTGTTCTTTTTTCCGGCTATAAGAGTTTTTTTTTCCTTTTTCTTTTAGGTTCCTTCATCTTCACCTCATCTCTGAATAGTCTACCAGGTTTCTCTGTGTTAACAACAAAAATAATAAGTAGCACAAGTTCTAATTTCTATCACAAATAAACTTTAACATATGGTTCTTGTTTGGTATCATCTGACCAGAGCAGCTTGGTTCAGATTTTATCTTTACTAACTTTTACACGCCTTTCTACTTATTAATTGACATCTGGAGGAAAGGCCTGCCACATATTTCACAATGTATTTAGGTTTCAGATTCTGACACTGAAAAACAGATCAACCATAGGGACAGGAGATTGTTTCTATCATCACTTTATTGAAGGCTAATAAACATCATTTTACATTCCCTTCTTTAAATGTGTTGATTTTGTCCCTTGTTTGCTTCCAGAGCCGGAGGAGGTCTCAGGGGAAGATGGTCCACGCGTGGTAAACGTCTTCCTCCCTGAACAGCGAGGTTATTTTGTCCAGCATTTGGGCTACTTCCTGGCAACCTTCCTGCTACTGGCCTTCATTGTCTTCGCTGTCATCATGCTGACTAGGCGACGGAAGAAGAGAGGTAATTTGTTCCTTTAGCTGCTGTATTTAATTTGACAATTTCAACTTCTTTCTTCCGTATTATGAAGTGCATTTTCATTACGATCACTGCTTGTCTGTTTTAGGACTGGAGTATGAAATGGGTAGATCTGTTAGGTGAGATATTATTCTGTAAAACATATCAATATAATCTCCATTTTATGTTGTATCACTAATTTTGGTTATCCACATGCAGGGCCAGCATAATCAGTGGAGGTGAGATGGCATTAGAATGCACAGAGCTGAGGACTTACAATCAGGAACCTTTGAATTCAGGTATACTTAACCTAAAAACAACAAATGACAAGTAGTTTTTTATACCAATGCAAATTTTTTTTGTCTAATTGCCCATTTATTTTGCTCCAAACAACGCAGATTACAAAAATAATCTACTGAAAGAAAGAGATATGGTTAAAGAGTGTAATAAGGGTGAGAAGTTCTTCAGTGAAATTCAATGAATAGACAAACTAACATGTCATAAAAATGAAGATTTGCTCCAACTCTTTCTCTTGCAGAATTCGATGGCAGGATGTGAAGTGAGTGTGATATTTCTGAGATGCTGCTGGCAGGTCCAGGGCAAAAACCGGAGGCGTAGAGGATGACAGAGAGAACGGAGGAGAAAATAAAAAATAACACAGGAAATCCAGGAGAAAACACAAGAGGATTACTCCCTCTGCTGTAACATGAGAGAACAAAGCTTTTTCAGTTAAAGGCTTAAATTTTTCTTTTGACTTTTTCTTCCTTACACGTATAACTTGCAATTTCATCAGCATTACTATAGATACATTTTGTCCATATATGTTTCATTTATTTCAGTTTTGAAACATTAAGTTTATGGAAATAAGTTCCTAATGTTAATTTTTTTTTTGCACAAATTCAGTTTACTACAACATATAACTCAAGATATTTCAAAGGCTATTTTCTTAATATGGGCAGTGTGGCTCTCAGCCCAGGGTGGGATCTATTTTGGAGCGATATGAGGACTTTGTCAATTCCACCTAAATGAGTTTTCTATTGCTTGTTTTGCTTGTACAGTCCACTGTGTTGTGAAGGCATGCCAGTGTTGTGCAACTACTTCTGAAACTTTGTTTCCGTTAATGTAAAAATAAAATAAATAAATCTTTCTTTCTCAAATGTGGCATCCTAGATTTTCCTTTGCACTAATAACAAGCAAGACCACCATGCCTCACTCCAGGGTTTTATTGTTTTAATGACCTAGAATGCTTGGTTGTCCACAGTCCATTTTGTTGCAATTGCAACTAATCGTCCAGCCCTAATTCAGCTAAATAAAGCCAACTTCATTAAGAAGTTAAATAATCTTAGGATTTTAAATAATAAGCTCACCTTATTTTCTTCTCCTACATTATTTTGTTTAAATCCACATACAGTCATATCTTTTTAATTGTTTATTTTATTTATAATGATTATGTCATACAGCTCATAAACTGTCATATTTCAGTTTTTTTGGAAAATATAATTTTTTTAATTAATCCAATAAAAATAATACATGCTCTCATACAAAAACTTTCATACAAATTTTAAGGAACACAGAAAGATGGGATTGAAAATATTCCAGCACACACGTTCTGCAAGTAGGAAAAGTTGAGTAGAAGAAAAATGGTGGGGGGGAAAAAAAGCAACAGGCAAGAAAAACAAAGCCCATATGGTGAATTTGGAGGAAATGAACAAGATTTGGACTGTGTCCACCGGTCAGGGTCAAAAATGATCACCCAGAGAAGTAGCCATGTCATGGGCTGCAAATGTGAGCTTCTTTGTGCTACTGCTGAACCAAACACAACATCAGGACTGTCTGAGATGAGTCAGAAAAGGACAAGACCCTTAACAAATCCTTTCTCAGTCAAATCAAAGTTAGCATTTCATTTCGAAATAAAAAAAGCATGGAAAAAGAGTGGAAAGGCACAAACCCCAGTAACACGAGGTTCTGCTGTGAAGTTTTTACACTTTGGGTTAAAAGCCATGGACCAGAGAGCTGAAGACATTAGTCTGGTAAGCTCTAATGAGATGCTGATTTCCATCCATCAATCCATCCATCTTCTCCCACTTATTCCATCAGGGTCACTATGGTGTGGGTATCTATCTCTGGCAGTGTATAGGCAGGGTACACCCTGAATAGATCACCAGTTTGTCACAGGGCAACACAGAGAAACACATACAAACATGAACACACACACGCTCACTGCTAAGGACAATTTTTAAAGATGCCAATTAACCAAACAGTTATGTTTTTGGATTATGGGAAGAAGCTGGGGTACTTGGAGAGAACCTATGCATAATGCCAAACGTGCCCTTAATAAAGTACTTCATGCAAATATTGCACAGTGAATGGGATACTTTTGAGTCAGCTGATATATCTGCATTAAAACTTATTTCCATTGACTATATTCAGTATTTATATTTTCTGGAAAAAAACCCCCAATGTTTTTAATCAGTAAGCCACCATGTATGACTCTGTGTAGTGAATCTATATGATTTCAAATACCGGTAATATATTAACCAAAATAAGTTGAAAACGATTTCATTTAATTATAATGTCTCTATGTATTTAAAATCTTTAAACAATGATCTATCTGTGAGCGCTATTAGTCTGAGCTCCCCTCCCTTTGTTCCCAGTAATCAGTGTGCAGCAGAAAGCTGAGGGTTGTGTAAGGCATCCAGAGGCGCAGCTCTAACGCACCACTAGATGGCAGCACTATCTAACCAATCAGACCAAGAGCAATATTCCCAACTCCCATATCGCAAGGATGTGGACTGTCCCTTCCTGTTTTAGTGCCGAGAGAGCCACCGTAGCGCCTCAGACAGTAGCAGGAACACAGGCGCCCAGAACGCGATTATGTCCGGATTTTGGCTGCGTTCGTCGCGCAAACGGAGCCGCATTACGCGCCGCGGGCAGCAGAGCTTCCTCTGTTAAGGAGCTATGCTGTTATGCTGATCTCCGGGTAGCTGGTAACAGAGCAGGCCTATTTATTGCGCTGCCAACCCTTGTTCCTTTCCTGTGTCAATGATTGTCCTCTTCTCAGTCTCTCATGGCGGAGACTAAAATAATATATCACATAGACGAGGAGGAGACTCCTTATCTGGTCAAACTGTCCGTTTCTCCAGAGAAAGTCACTTTAGCGGATTTTAAAAATGTCCTCAACAACAGACCCGTCAATAGCTACAAATTCTTCTTCAAATCCATGGATCAGGATTTTGGGTAAGTGGCCATCGTCGGTAATTGTCATTATTATTATTGTGTTAATACTAATAACCAGCTCAGGTTGTTTAGTTTCTGGGCCCAGACATAATATCAAAGGATCCAGGTTGCAGCCTTGTTACCTGCAGGTAAAGTGGAGCTGTGTGTGTCTCCATGCTCCTCCTGGCACCTGCTCATTATTCCAGGCTGCCCTGCGCGCAGCGGAGGAGGCACACGACCTGTTTGAAGTGATACCAGATCCGTCCGGAGCCCTAATGACGTAGCCCTGCACTGTTCACACTCACTCACACCAGATCTCACTTAAGTGACAATATTCCAATCAGCTGCAGCAGCCTGACAAAAGGTCCATGCCCAAGTTCTCAGGTTTCACAATATTTGGCCTTTCTTTCACTTTCTCCTGCGCGTTTTTTTTTTGGTCACACTATTTCCCCCACTATATAGCCAGAGAGGGGTCTGTTTTACTAATTAGTCATTCATGTGTCCTATATGTGAACAATAGCCTGGCATCACATTTGTTTGCCTAAAATATTTTGAATATTTTCTGTTTTATCTTTATTTTTTTAAATGTGCTTTATTACAGCAATTGTTTTTAAAGCTAGATCACACTAATTTAAATATCTATATCCAGTTTTCTTTGAGAACCGACCTGCAGCTTCTGATTCTCACACTGCATATGCATCGTTTGATGTAAAAACAAACAGATTTTGTTTTCAATTTATATTGGAGCATTTATTCTAAATATAAACCTGTTTCAGACAAGAGTGATAAACACTAAAATAATCTGTCCTAAATTAAAACCTCTTAGCTGCACTACCTCACACTTTATTATATATATATATATTAACATTAATGTGTGCCAGTTATTCTTGAATTGTATTTTGCTGTGTGAACCATAAATAATTTGTAAACTAATTTTGTCAGCTTTAGTTTATCAGAGCTGACAAAAGTTTTTTTTAATCTTTGCAAATTATAAAATTGGTTAAGATAGTCAATATTTCCGTTTTTAATTATTTGGACACAGTTTGTTTTTTCACCAGGACTGTTAAAAATGAGTGCTTTTAACTCCAAATGTGACTGAACCAGGAAAATACAATAAAATTTCAAGGTTATAAACATTTCTTCATTAAATATATACGGTATATATTTTTTTCTGAATCTGAAAAAACAAGTGCATGATTTTGTTTAGTATGTTAATAGTGTAAAATATTGAGAGGTTTTGATGTATCATTGGATAGGAGGAACAAATGTAAGTTTTCATTATTTGCTGAATGGTAGAGTCTAACCTAATCTCATGATTCAAATGGTACAAATGCATGTTTGTTCTTTTTAAAGAAAAAAAAAAGTGTTGGATGCGCATCCCAGCTTTCTGCTTATTGTCTTTTAATGCTGCTCTGTAATCTAGTTACACCCTAAACACTATTTAATAGAGAGGAACCATTAAATGGATATAACATGAAGGATCTTGAACAGACACATGAGCAAATATAATGTAGAATCTCCAGTTTTGTAAAGCCCCTTTTAATTTCTCTTTATTAATCAAATAAACACCTGAAATAAATATATATATATA